GCACACCCACTAAAGAAAAAAAAAAAAAACCTCTAAAAAAAAAAAAAAAAAAAAAAAAGTCTGTATGACCAGGCCCCTTTGGTGGATGCTTTTTCTTTTTCTCTCTCTCTATTGCAAGGGAATATATCCTCTGGCATTAAATCAAAAACAAAATCAAACAAACAAAAACTAAATAAACAGAACAATGCCCATCTGTGGACATTCTCCCACTAAAGGATCCCAGCCGCAAAACCTCCTAGCTGTTTCTTTTTTTGGAGAGGTTTTTGCTATAGGGCGCATGTACTCGCCAGAAAGACAGAGAGACAGAGAGATAGAAAGCAAAAAATCACCCCCCGGGGGGATGGCCATGCCGCAATCCCTTCTCCTCCATTTTCCTCTTGGGATCTTGGGCATGCATGCACACGCGCCTGGCATGAGTTTAAGCCACCGGGTCCGGGACTCAAACCACGGTTGGCTACATGGGAGTCCAGTGACATAGCCATTACGCTAACTGCTGGTCCCTTAGCTATGTCTTTAGAGTTTCTGTCAGATACCAGGATTCTATTGGAACCCTTTCCTGTGTCTGTGTTTCCAACGTGGAAAAACGTGACTCCAGAAGCCAGCCCTTCTCTGCCAGCTGGACCTTCTGAGCACCTGCACAGATTCTGCCTCACAGCAAGGACCTGCATCCTGCGGGTGCTCAGCAGCTGTTAACTGAGTGAACATGTCCTGGACAGATGATGGTCAGTGACGAATTCCCTTCCTACTGCTTCTACTTCAGCAGCCAACTGGGAACTTTATGATCTTCCCTTTTATAATGCCTCCAATCAAAACCAAAGGGATTGTTTTTTCACCTTGCCTGCCTGTAAAAATAGCTAATAATTTCTGATTATAATTTGAGTAACTTACTTCTCTTGATACTGACTTCTTCTCACAATACATCTTTCAGTTGAGTTTCTTTTGCGGACTTAGTCCAAAGTGGGAAGCTGTACTTAGGTGGGCTAACTCTGTTCTCTGGTAGGATTTATTTCACTGTTCCATGCAGAAATAGAGCTGAGTGTGAGTTTGGAGAGAGGTAAGCACCTGGACCGCGTCCACACTGCAGCACAAACATACTTCCTTGCATATATCTGCTGCTAGTGGGACGGCTGCCAAGGCTCTCAGTTAATACGTTTTTATGGTCCCTACTAAGCCTTGAAGTTTTTGCAGACAAGCAGGAAAACAAAATTTCCTGCAGTATGACGGGCTGGCTAGAGGCCCAACAGCAGGGAGGAGATTGGGGCTACAATCAAAGAAGAAAAGTTTGAATGACCAAATTATTTCTATGTGAAACCTTACAGTTCGTCGACCTCACTCTACTTTGACAGATCTGCTTCCTCAGAGGGGATGGGGCCTGGTGTGAGAACAGCCCAAACACAGGGGGATCCACGCAGCTGGGGCGTGACCAAGTGTGACTTTGTATATTTTGCTGATTTAACAAAGGAAAACGGTAGGGCTCTAAAGGCAGCCATGCTGCATCAGACCCACAAGGTGGGTGGCGGCACCTTGTGGGCTCACTTCCTTCACGGCATGTCTGGATTCTTCTGGATTTTGTAGACCCACCCATGGCACAACCCACGCCCCCTCCTGGTGCTGCCTCCTCAGTGCTCTGGCTGCTTTCCTAAGTGTCTCTGCTTGACTTTTCTTAGACTTTACAGCCATAAAACTGAAGGCCATTAATGTTTTACTGCTACCTAAAGGTTCTCTTAGATAATAGAGAGTATTTTTAATGCTTTAGCCATCAATGGTAATTCAATCAACTCTTTGTTGGGTTTGAAAGGTACCAAAAGGCTTTTAAAACTAACAGCTAATATATAAACCATCCACAGTTACTGCTCCCTGAGACTTTTCACCAAATGGAATCCTAATGACTGTGCTGCCAACCCTCACTTAGTGGTCTCTGGGAGTGTGTTTAGCCTGTCATTTCACTCTTTTACCTTATGAGGACAGATGAACTGCTGGACTCAGGCCACCCAGAGGTCCCCACCTCAGACCTCAGCGTCAGGGGAGGTCAGGAACCCTCTGGCCCAGCACCTGGTGGTGCTACACAGATGACCAACCTACCCTTGGGAGTTGACGGTGTCCTTTGGTTTCAGCAGCACCTTGGACAGGATAGTGAACAGCTTTAGGCGCATCTGTGGGTCTCTCGCTGGTTGGAGACAGGCTCTCAGCGTGGGTACCACGTGCTGCAATGCTTCTCCAATGGCAGGGCCTGAAAAACAGCAGGGTCCAGGGTTAGGTGGACAGGGGCTCTAACACCAGAGGAGCATAAGTCTCAGCACAGAGCACAGATCAATGAGTACCTACTGCTCAGGAAAAGAACATTCCAAATACATTTCTACCTGTCTGCAGTCGACTTTCCCTTCCACATTCCTCTCCTTTCTGGATCACTGAGGTGATTAACAAAGAAAAATAACTAAGAACATTTATGCTCCCCTAATCACTAATCATTCACTATACAATGTTCTTTTTATTTTTTTTTTGTACTTTTCCAAACTGTTAAAAAAAGAAAAAAAGAGAAAAGGTCAGGGGCTAGCAGGCGGCATGGTGGTTAAGGTGGTGGACTCCCACATGGCCGACCACAGTTGAACCCTAGACTAAGTGGCTTGAAAATCATGCCAGGCATGCATGCCCAAAACCCCTCGAGAAGGAACTACAGTGTGGCCATCCCGCTAATGGGCGATTTTTCACTTTCCCTCTCTCTGTCTCTCTCTAGCAAGTACATGCACACTATGGCAAAACCTAAGAAAAAAAGTTAATATTTTAAAGACCAATAAAAATCAATTATTCAAAACATGCAAGCTATTTAATAGCTGCCTCTAAACTTTGCAAAATTATCACTAGAAGAAGAAATTGGTACAACTCTCCCCACACTAGGAGAAATTTCAACATAACATAGGTATTTTAGTATGTGGAACTCGCTGAATCATGACTGGAATGAAATAATCTCTGTTGTCTAGACATGAACTGTGATTCCCAAGAATACGGGTCATAAAACACCATGCTTACTTTTCCCTGAGCCAACAAATAAGACTTCATATTTCAGAATACAGGTTACTCTCAAAACACTGTTTTATCACACATTTTGTGAAGTCTGTAATAAGTCAGAAAACAAGCCAACCAACAAAAACCTTTGATCTTTTAAGATACAGTGTTTCAAACTCTAGCATGTGCTTGCAGAATGAAAAAGTGAGGCCCCAGGAGGAAACCTCACTAGACTGAAACTATGTGATGTGCTGGGGAAGAAAAAGAAATAAAAAAAAAACCAGAACAAGAAAATCCCCACCAACATGATATGAAGTGGAACTGACAGGGTTTTCCAGCTGGGTGAGTACAGGGGATCTGCTACACCCTCTGTCAACAGAGCACAGAAGACAAACGTCTGCAAATGTCTTGCTTAGAAGAAGGTGAGAGCATTCAGAAAAGAACATCAATCTCTCAAGACTGAAGAGTTTTATTCACAAAGGAACAGAGACAAAATGTGCAAACAGAGGAAACAGTGGGTTTGGGGGTGTGTCTTATTGTCCATTCTGCAAAGAGCAGTCTTAATTTGTGCACCTTACCAGCTACTCTTTACAAACTGCAACTAAATAAATAACTCTTAATATTTAAAGTCTGGGTAAAATGAATGCTCCCTAATAAAAATAAGGAAAAAAAAATTCCTTGAAGATGTAGGGTGTTTTCTCAAGGTATAAAAGGTGAGGTGAATGTGAGTACTCAGAGAAGTGCACTCAGCACTAAGCACCACATGACGTGTGGCAGGGATAAGGCCATAGCACCCATGAGAACCCGTGAGAACACGGAGCTCCTCAGAACCCTTTCCAGAGTAAGGGCAGGCACCACTGGGAGTAGGATGATGTCAGACTAAAGAGGTAAATACATGCTATTTACACTTCAAGAAATTAAAACATGTTTGGAAAATGAAAAATAACACATGCAAAACTGTGCACCAGGATTTCCCTGAAGCAGCTCTAACCTTTACACGTGGTTTGACCCTCACCAGGACGGGCTTTGGCTCCAGACTCATCAGTGTGGAAGGAGGACCAAAGCATAGCCATCTCCAATACAGCCAGTCTTGTCTTCTCAGTTACTATTTGCACGTGTTCAATGGTATCACCACACTGGTCTGTGGCTACTATAGCACTGGGCTCTCAGCGTGGGTACCACGTGCTGCAATGCTTCTCCAATGGCAGGGCCTGGAAAACAGCAGGGTCCAGGGGTAGGGGGACAGGGGCTCTAAACCCAGAGGAGCATAACTCTCCG